ATGTAAGCTGCGGAAAAAATTCGGTTTGGTTTGAATATTTTGTTATTTCGGGATTCGGATCCGAAATTCAATTGGGTTTGGGTTTTGGATTTGGACGAAATCTGAATTTTCGTTAGTTTGGGATGAGTTTACGAATATTTGTTGTGCCTAACACAGAAAACCATATACAGATATTAATACTAAAGCTGAATCTCCCAGACCCGCATGGCATTCGCGATCCCAATTTCCAAAATGCTTTTCGGGGGCTCCTGAATGCCATTCGAGTCTGGGATCCTCAGCTTTAGTAATATATGGATATGGCTCCCAGACTCGAATAGCATTCAGGAGCTCCCGTATGCAATTCGGAAATTTGGACGAAATCTGAAGAGGGAAGTTTATCTGAAAATAATTTGTGGTGCACCCACTTCAATGCCAAAAGGACTTTGTCCTCCTCAGGATTGAGTTCCATTTTCCCCCTATTATTTTTACACCTAAAATGTCTTCCTCTATGTTCTGTATCCATCACATTTGGGTCATTCCTTGTCCTATTTGCCACCTCTCAATCACTGGAAAAATACTTTCTTTGGTGTTTTGAATTAATCTATTCTTGTTACTTATCCCAGTCAACTTAATCTACTCACCTTGATTCTAGTGACAAAATCCAATCCTTTATACATAACACTGAGTTATTTGTCAGTTCCTTTTTTCCACCTTCCATTTACCAATTTGAGCTAAAAATTTAGCTTAGCTTCAGGATAATTTATTTTGTGACTCACCTGTCCCAGAGCTATTCACTCCTCATGGACATTATCATGATAGATTACAATCTACCTTAACATATCCTTTGCTTGGATTAAAGTGTGTTACTCATGTAGCTATAACTGCCGGGGTATGTTATCAAAACTCATTTCAAATGATGAAAGCACTTGGGTGAGTGGTAAAACATCTCTAACTGTCAGGGAATCAGGGGTGTCACCTCTCCTCAAGGGCTCCTTCAGCCGGCAGAGCTCCTGGCGCTGGGGTTGTGGTTGCGCATGCGCGAGATGCGCGTTGTGCGTGCACGTGGTGGACAGACTGCGCGCGTGTGCGCGTTATATGCGCGTAGCTCCCCTGCGCCCATTAGGACAATCAGGTGAGGGCCTTGCTGGGGGTGGTTCCCAGCACACACTTCCATTCCTCACTCCTGTCATTGGCTCCCGGACGGAGAAGCCTCCTGGTTGCCTCGGTGACCAGGGGGTGGTCTTTAACCTCTGGCTATAAAAACCTGGTCAGAGCCCTGGCTTGCTACTGAGTTATTCCACCTCTATTGTGCGAAACATCTAGCCTCTTTGTTGGATCTTGCTATCATTCTCTGCCCCCTCATCTGAACTTTCTAAATAACCGACCCCCTGGCCTGCCTACGGCTCTTGAATCTTAGCCGCCTGCCTCGACCCGGACTGGACTTTGACTTCCCCTTGGGATTACGATCTTGTACCTCGCCCTTTGGACCTTCTTGCCCGCTTTCTACCAGTGGGTTCCTCTCCACGCCGTTAGTCCACGGCGCCACCTGACACTAACATTACAAGACTGGTCTAGTTGAAAGTGACTAACTACTACTTCTGATACCATGACCTAGAAAACTCCCCTTTTCTATTCCAGCATAACTGTGCCCCTGTGCAGAAAGTCAACTCCATAAAGACATAACATGACCAGTTTGATGTGGAGGAACTCATGTGGCCTGCACTGAACTCTGATCTGAAACCTTCTGAACACCTTTGGATGAACTTGGATGAGGGTTATTCACAAAAGGGTGAAGAGTTTGGAGAAGGCTGGAGAAGTGAACAATCTAGGACAACATCACTGAGCTGGAAAGTGAGCTGAATTGAAGAATATTTCCAGTTCACTTCTCCGGCCTTCTCCAAACTCTTCTCCCTTTTGTGAATAACCCTGTTAATGAGAGCCAGGCCTACTCGGTACCTGACCTAAAAAATTACACAATTACACGAATTCATATAAGTGCGATGGTCAGGTGTCTAGAAACCTTTGGGCATATGGTAAATCTGATGAGCATATATGGCTATCATGTTATAATACAAACCCTGAAACAGGTATCATACAACATTAACATATATAGGCATATATATGGTTAAAAAAACATTTTTTGAGTGTAACTCCAGCCCAAAAATGTTTTTTTCGTTTTGGATAGCATAGGGAAGGGTCACGGTTCTTTTGCTGTCTGTTCCCCTTGTTCAGAAGATTATAATATAATTTAAATTTGTTTTTATTTAAAATGACACACCATAAAAAAATGTTTTTCTATTTTTAATGTTATTTTATAAACTTTATTTTTTATTATTTGTTTATATTTTTAATTTTTATTTATTTAACTTTTTCTTTACTTTTTTTAGTCTTTTTAATTTAATTTTTGTAATTTTTTTAAACTTTTTATATTTTTGTATTTTAATGCTGGGAGCCATAGCCAGCCTGCTATTGGATATTTCAAATTGCAATAGCCAATAGCAGACTGGCAATTGCACCTGCCCACTGCCTGCTGTCGATCAGCAGAGGAGGGGCCTGAAGCAGAAAGTCCCCCCCACCCATGCTGATTGACAGCAGACAGTGGGCGGGTGCAATAGCCAGCTTGCTATTGGCTATTGCATTTTACAATATTCAATAGCAGGCTGGGTATGGCTCCCAGCCTGCAATGAAGAGTAGGCAGGGGGGCGGGGCAGAGGAGCTGCGGCCAGACCAGGAGACCGGAGGATCGCCCGAACCGGGGAAGCCGACGGAACGGCTGAAGAGGAAGCCGGCACATCAGCGGAGGTACGTGGGGCATCGGCGGTATGCAGGACACAGGCCGCTGCAGCCACAGTTCTCCTAAATGTACCCGGCGGCTGCAGGTACATTTAGGAGAACTGTGGACCCCGTTTGTAAGTACGGATTGTCCGTATGTCGGACGTCCGTAACCCGGGGACTGCCTGTACTGCTAAGATTATTATTTACAATATATTTATAAAGTACTGCAATCAAATATGTGATTTATCTTGAGCATTAATATAGAATTTCCATATTCTTGTTTAGATGCGGATGAGTGTACCAGATGTCCCTCCGATCAGTGGTCCAGTGAGGATAGGGACAAGTGTGTCCCAAAGGCTTTAGAGTTCCTATCATATGAGGAACCTTTGGGAATCATTCTGGTGTTAACAGCTGTCGTCTTGTCAATCCTCACACTCAGCATCTTAATTATATTCATTCAGTATCGGGAAACTCCCATCATCAAAGCCACCAATAGCGGGCTGAGCTACATCCTGCTGGTGTCTCTCATTCTCTGCTTCCTCTGTTGCCTGGTATTCATTGGTCAACCGTCAACTTTTAGTTGTCTCCTAAGACAAACCTTCTTCAGTGTGGTCTTCTCCATTAGTATCTGCTCAGTCCTGGCCAAGACTATCATGGTGATCCTTGCCTTTAAAGCCACCAGCCTCAACAGTCCATTAAGGAAATGGCTGGGTCCAACTATCCCTCATAATGTTGTTGGGATCTGTTCTGTTTTGCAGATCAGCATTTGTTCATTTTGGCTATACAGTTCCCCTCCTGTTCCTATGCTGAACAACAAAAGCCAAAAGATAATATTTGAGTGTAATGAAGGGCAGAAGGTTTTTTTCTACATGGCTCTGGGGTTCATGGGCTTTCTGGCCATGATCAGTTTTCTAGTGGCTTTCTTGGCAAGGAACCTCCCGGGAAGCTTCAATGAGGCCAAACTGATCACCTTCAGCATGCTGGTCTTCTGTTGTGTCTGGATCTCCTTCATCCCGGCCTATCTGAGCACCAGTGGAAAATACACAGTGGCTGTTCAGATATTTGCTATCTTGACCTCCAGCCTTGGACTGTTAAGTTGTATATTTTTTCCCAAATGTTATATTATCTTGCTGAGACCAGAGAGGAACAATCGAGATTTCTTATCAGGCAGTAAAAAGAAAAGGAATTGGAATAAATAAAACTCTTCCTCACTATATAGAGTTGATGTACAAAAGGAAACATTTCAATTATGTCATTAGACCTTCATAAAGTTGCAGAGAACATTGGGTGCAAATAAAGGTTGACCAGTTGCCACAAGGCATTGTTTACCGTTTGGTCAACTTCATATTAGTTTCAGACAAACAACCAACGGTTGTAAATAATATATTTTCTCAGACTTTTTATGATTTAGTCCAGTCAGAAAAACACAGATTTACCCAGTTTCCCATCTCCTCTGATGTAAAAGTGTAATACAGAACAGATAATAGAAGGTAACACTGCAAGTCCTTTGGTCAATGTGTCACCTTTTTCAAGACCCAAAGTCATTTTCTGCCATACTTCTTGAATACAAAATCTAAGAGCAAATATATTTTTTAGCTTTCAATCCCCCCTTTGCACATCTCCCAGATATGTACACTTTGCCTCTCCTGTATGTGATTGTACACAGAGCTCCATGGGAGGAAGGCCTGTTTGTAATGAGTAGAATACAGGAGCAGAGATGGCTATCAGTAGTGTGTGCGGGGTGGAGTGCTATAGGCAGAGAAGAGTTTACTCAGAAAAACTAACTGTTCGTGGAATTTGAGTATGTTTGTAGGTTCTGGCAACAAAGTGCCTGGAGCTGGTTACTTTGGTAGGGGTGGGCTTGTTCATATTGGTTAGGAACCAAAGAAAACTCAAAGAAGGATGGAAGGGTAAGCAATGGTTAAAAACCTTCCAGTCCAGAACTATACATAAATAATAAAATGGATCCAAGCCATTCTTCTGTAGAGGACTTTCCCGTGGAGCCAATGGTTGCATCTGAAATCTATATTGCAGAATACAGGCCTAGCAAGGTCCAAAATATCCAGGCATTCTCAGGTCTTCTCAGCACCAGTGTGATTAACCAGTTATTTGTGTTGAGACTTCTGTGTGGTAGATTTCCTATGCTTCTCAGCTCCATCCAGTGGCCATAATGTTGTGCAAATCTACAACACATTCATTTGTAGAGAGAACAGCTGTGCAAATATTTTATTAAAGCACCCCGAAGCATGGTCAAGGTAGGATATATATACACACATCAAGCTGATATGCTATAAAGACAAAGGTCAAGTGTCAGTAAAATATGTGAGATGGGCCTGGCTTGTAACTAGAATATCAGGAAATGCAAAGCAGTACACCAAAATGGACCAAGACGAACTGTCACAATATCGTGCATGGGTGTCCCCACACCACGTGCAGATATCTCTACAGGAGAACCAAATACATGACCACACCAAACAATGCTTATGAACTATAGTTTATTAGCTACTCCAAAAACACCACAACCATAAACACCCCCACCAACACCCGCAAATAACATTTAAAAGCCTAACTAATACAAATAACAAAGTACACACTGGAGACAACAGGGCAAACCCTGGGGAGCAGGATAACAAGAGGAGAGCCACCGATCAGGAGACCTCAGGGGTAAGGTTCATGAATCAGGTCAGAGTCCGGGTTCAAGGCAGGAACAGGATACAGGAAACAGGATACAGTATATGTAAACAATACTGAGGCACAGGCCTCACTGCAGGGTTAAATACCCTCCCAGATCAGCACCAGGTGGTGACTAACCACTGATTGCTGGTACACACGCAGGTGAGCACTGGAACCACAGGATCTGGTTCCAGTGCCACAGTGCCACCTGGAGGTGTTCTGGTCCCTGACAGGAACATTTGTGACCAGGCACCGTTCAGGTGCACTAAGAAGGGTGCGTATTCAGCAGCTGGTCCTGTACAGTTATATTTATTTAAAGCCAATCTCTGGGCAAATATATCCCCTCTCCAACCCTCTCACCCATGCAGTACTTTTTAATAAATAAAATACTTTCTAAAGCTTTTTTACTTTACTTTCAATCCAATGTCTATGTTTTTCATGGGAGCCATTTACGTAAGTAATGAAGAGTGATACGATGCTGTATACTATGCCCATCTGTGGTTACAATCAATTGTAGTTGCTGTAGCCTTTGGCATTCAAAAAGAACCTCACCACTAGACAGCCAATTGGAAGTGATAATGTCACCCAGGCAGTGACATGGACGCACGAAGAAGGACTTCCTCCTCCTCAATAAAGAAGATAGTAGACTCAGACTCGTAACCACAGATTTGGTGGGTTTTTGCTTTATTTATTTATATATTTTTTTTTTTCTAACACATGGAGATGGGCTGTGGAAGGAGGGGAGGTGTACGGGGTATGGGATTGGGGAGGAGGGGTAGTGCTTAGAGTTCATTTTTAAACCACCAGATGACACAGGCACAAAGCACCTAGCCAATGCTGAAGAACATCAGTCACAGATCCTGCCCTGGAGACATAAAACAACCGAATATCCACAAAGGGTGAGCTGGAACCAATAGCTCCTGACTGTGCCAATTATTTAATTGTCCTCTTCCAGTAACCTTATGTCTTCCCCGAGAGTCCTATAATTATTCTCATAATACTATTGTTTGGGAATTTGTAACAATAGTATGACATAGCTAAGTGTGAAGCTTTACATTAGGGGTGTGGCCATCACAGTTATTAATTGTAAAAGGGAAAATGTTTGCAGTGGTAATTCGGGGGAGGGGGGTAATATGAGAAGACCCCTACCTTGCCGTCATTACATCCCTACACTGTGTTAGAACTTCAGTAACGGGCGATCTTGAGACTCTAGTAATAGGGAGTTCTTCCATTTAAAGATGAACCTCAGCTTGGCCCAGTGGAAATATATATACAGTATCAGGGCTATTCACAAAAGGGTGAAGAGTTTGGAGAAGGCAGGAGAAGGGAACAACCTAGGACAATGTAGCTGAACTGGAAAGTGAGTTGAATTGGATAATTTTTCCAAATCATCTATTTTGTCCTAGATTGTTCACTTCTCCGGCCTTCTCCAAACTCTTCACCCTTTTGTGAATAACCCTGTATATTTTATACCTGGTAGGGACATGGGGATCCTGTAAAGCACTGTAGAAGCTGGAGCTACCACAGCACTGGCTGTGATCTTCTGTGTCCTCATACTGCGCTGTGCTGAGCAGATTCTCCTCTGCTGTGAAAATAAACAGGGGGTCACTCCCTCAACACAGTGGCCATGCAGAGAATGCCTAAAATGTTTATCAATGAACACTAAGCATTCTCTGATTGATCAAGGTGTGATAACATCACAATCTGCCCCTCGTCCAATCAGATTATGCCATGTATTCATTAGTTGAAATGCTAGGTGTTCTCTAAATGGCTGCTGTGCCAAGGAAGTGACCCCCAGTATTTTCAGAGCACAGAGAAGTGGCTCAGTACGGTGCATTACCGGACCCAGAAGATAGCTGTAAAGCACTGTAGTAACTCTGTGTCGGGAGCGTCCGGTGGCAAGCAGCACGGAGGGAACCCGCTGGCAGGAAGCAGCCTAAAAAGTCCGAAGGCAAGGTAACAAAAGGGCAATCCAAAGGGGTAGTCGAGCGCAATCCAAGGTCGAGGCAGGCAGCAAGGGTCAGAGGCGATAGTCAGTCTAGGGTCGGTGCACGGGAAGTCAGCAGAGGGTTCAGGTAACAGGCAGCAAGGCACATAGGAGGAGAGCTTCGTATGTCACACTAAGAGGTGGAATAACTCAGCACTGAGCCAGGGCTCTGGCCAGGTTTTTATAGCCAGGGGGTGTGAGTCCGCCCCCTGGTCTCCGAGGCGACCAGGAGGCCTCCCTTCCCGAGGGCCAATGGCAGGCGAAAGGCGTGTGTGTGTGTGGGCTGGGGAACCTCCCCCAGCAAGGCCACAACTGAAGCTCAAACAGGTGCACGTGTGTTGCGAGCACGGCCCCGGGATGCGCGCGCAGCCTGTGTACTGCGCACGCGCACCCGACGCGTAGCTCGCGCACGCGTAGTGGCCGCCGGAGCGCCCGTGGGTCTGCCAGGCTGAAGGGAGGTCTGTACCCTATGCCGTACCCTCTGACCTCGTGGGGGGGGCGACGCCCCTGGCATCCTGACACTCTGGCTATGGAGTGTTTTACAGGATCCCCATGGCCCTTCAAGGTATAAAATATGTATACTAATATTGGGCCAAGCTGGATGTAAGAATACATCAATATTTACACCTAGAGTTTAGCTTTAATGTCCTGGTGTTCTTAAGTCTCTATTGCCTCCACCTAATGGTGTCTTGTGGACACCAGATAGACTCCTCGATAGGATTTTTCTAGTGCCCAGGATAGATCACCCTCACTTGGTAGGTCCACACGTAAAGCTCATTTTCAATGCTTCAGTTGAACATGGTAAGACAGGGGGACAGAGAAAGTGGAATACCCAGACCTCCCTAATACAGCTCCTTGGCTAGCAGTCCCTGAGTGGTTCTCGCATCCAGAAACATCACACAGAAGTTCCTCTGGTACACATCAGCCCCACAAAAAGGACCTTTCCAGAACATTGCCTCCATATTCCTTCTTTTGACTTTTCTGTACTTGGATGAGAACTTATTTGTGTGATGAATAAAAACATTTTATTGCAAAAAAAATATTTTTATATCCATTGTATGATTTCATTGGGTCATACATGTATGACACAATATCACCCTAAATAAGCTAACACAGGAAAACAACAATCACGTTTCATGGAATCTTTCTATTTGCTCCAGCGCTTTGAAGGTTTATTTCTTCCACACAGAGGTGAGGTGGAGTCCATAACTTCGCCAATCCTATCACTTCATCTAGAGACCTCCAAGCTGCATGGGCTGCTATGGCTATTGTTATGCCACTTCATGTGAAGGTGACTGCTGATGTGAAGCAGGAACTCTGACGAGAAGGGAGGACTCTGATATGAAGGGGGAACTCTGACGAGAAGGGGGGACTCAGATATGAAAGGGGTGCTCTGATGTAAATGGCACTGATGTGAAGGAACGACTCTGACGTGAAGGTAGGATAGGGAACTCTGATGTGAAGAGAGGAGACTTAGATATGAAAGGGGTGCTCTGATGTAAAGGGCACTGATTTGAAAGGGGGCTCCTGGTGCAAATGGGGACTCTGATGTAAAGGGGGATTCTGATGTAAAAGGGGACTCCTGATGTAATTGGGGGACTGGACTTTTTTGTGTGTTTTTGAATGCCCCTCCCCACTTTAAATTCCATTACATTTTAGACTAGGGTCCCCCCAAATTGTGTATACTTTTAAAGGGTGTCTTTACTGAAAAAAAGGTTGGGAAATGCTGCTATAGAGGATGAGTATTCATCTTATAAATGTACACCCAGCTTGGGAGTGAAGCAGGACATTGTTGGGAAAGGCAATGTGTGGGATGTCCCCAATGAAAGCTGTAAGCGGTCAGTTTGATAGATAACATGGGGGCATTTCCTGTATAAGTAAGAAGAAATGTATTGAAATAAATTGTTGCGAAGTGAAGAAGGATCCATTTGTTTTATTACCACATTATTCCTACACAGATTCTGTCTTTCTGAAACTTTATTCGTTATTAAAAAAAACTCCAATTTTGATTTTGAAAACGACCTGAACAAATTGTGTTCTTTCATCGTAATATGAGTATCTGGTCTTTCAATCACTCTTAGATTCTGTCTCCCGTAGAGAAGACTTGTGTGGAGGGATCTCTATGGAGACATCTGTGGAGGGATCTCCTGGGATTATCTGATCCTACACACAATGAGAATGCCAGCTCTTATAATATTTATCAGTGGAAGACATCAGAAGCTTGGCTGATCACTGCTTACACACAGGAAATAATGACAGGGTAAAGTGATATCATTACCAGCCCACAAGGGGCTTGTACTTTCCATCCTCTTATAGCAGTGGAGCAGTCACAGGACAAATGGGACCATGCAGACGTTAATTCAATTCCCCCAATTCCTGATCTCTTCACATTCCGTCATGGATCTCGGGGTCACTTAGGAGTTGGATCCTGTAATTATTGCACACAGTCTCTAAGAAGAGGAAACCAAACCAATAATTATATCAGATTGGTGTCCGCAGAGTTCCCCAAACTGGTAATTATATCTGATCTTGACCACAGGGTGCCCCAAACTGGTAATTATATCAGCTCCTGTGCACAGAGTGCTGCAAACTGGTAATTATGTCAGATTGATGGTCCGCAGAGTGCCGCAAACCAATAATTATAACAGATCATGTCCACAGAGTGCGTGTTGTAAAGTAGTCACCACTCCGAGCTCGCTCCAGGGATGGACTACAATCTCATGTTTAGTTTACTAATTTGTACTGAGATTGTAGTCCATCATGGGAGTGAGCTTGAAGCAGTGCAATGATAACAAACCTTACACAATAACTTGATTTATCTTATGTCTTAAGATACTTATTTGCATCAAATTCCCTTTCTAGATCAGTCATGGGGCAACCCTGTCAGCCCTGAGCAATAAAAGGAGCTTCCCTTCTTTCCTGCGGACGGTGCCCAGCAACATATTTCAGAATGTTGCTCTCTCTCAGCTAATTGGCCAGTTTGGTTGGACTTGGGTTGGAATGTTGGTGGTAGACAACGATGTTGGGCAGCAGGGGGCCCAGGTCATAAGAGCCGGCATAGAGATAAATGGAGGCTGTATTGCTTTTCAGGAGAAAATCCATCTGAGTTATTCAGCCAGACAGATCAAGAGAGTGGTGGATGCCATTAAAAGAAGCTCCATCAATGTGATCATTCTCCACAGCCCAGAGGTCCACATGAAGGCCCTTCTAGATGCCATGTTTGATGAAGGAGTGACTGGGATCAATTTCATCTCTTCAGCTTCCTTTGGACTCACGCCGGGACTCTTCTCCAAGAAAGCTTGGAAGGTTCTGAATGGGACTGTTGGACTCATTCCTCGTACTGGCACCATGCCAGGTTTTGAGGAGTTCATCCTAAACCTTCAACCAACTGGTAACTCAACGTACCCATTTATTAGGCCATTCTGGGAGAAAGCGTTCAGCTGCCACTTGCCTGATGGAGATACTGAGAAGTCCAATTCTGTTATGAAAGAAGACATGCTTTGCACGGGGAAGGAAGAGTTTGGAAGCAGGTTTGCTCAGCTATTTGAGACAAATGACCTCAGTTACACTTATCATGCCTACCTGGCTGTGTATGCCTATGTACATGCTCTGCATTCACTGCTTGGTTGTCATGCTGAATCAAATGGGTACTCTGATAATGGACTGTGTGCAAATATCAAAGATGCTCAGCCTTGGAAGGTGAGTGGCAAATGGTATATAATAGACTTTTACCTGGCTCAGAAATATCAATGATAATTAGGAATGAGTATAGTGATTTTGGCCAATTTGATTTCGATTTAGCCAAAATATCACCAACATTAGCCTCAAATGAAAGCCATGTAATTGTCATGTCAGCACTGGTGATCACATGATTTTGTTAATAAACCAAGGGGTATGCTTTAGTTCTGTATTCATTGAAAATTCAATAAAAATGACATGCTCAAAAAAATAAAATAAACCAAGGGGTAGGGTTGGTGCAATGGTTAGAGTTAGGTTTAGCTTTAGTATTACAGTCTCGCTGTTCCTCAGTATCTAACATCATGCTCCCAGCTAATGTTTTTGTGTCACTAGAACAGGTCCAGGATCTTTACTGGCCCCCCTTGGGACATTTAACGCCCATTACATGCTGAAAAGCCACCCTAGTTTAACCTTCCACATTGATTTCAATTCTTTTCATTGAGAGGGACAGAGGCACTACTGTTAAAGCTCCCAACTGTGAGAGGAGCAGGGGCACAAACTACTGCAGGGAAATATCACCATTGTGGGAGGGGCAGAGACAAAAACTACTGCAGAGAAATCTCACCATTGTGGGAGGGGCAGAGATGCAAATTACTGGGGAGGATCTCACCATAGTGGTAGGGGCAAGGACACAAGCTACTGGAGGAAATGTCTACCTTGTGGGAGGGGCAGGGACACAAACAACTACAGGGAAATATCTACATTGTGGGAAAGACAGAGACACAAACTACTGGGGGGAAATCTCACTATTGTGGGAGTGGCCGAGACACAAACAACTGGTGGGAAATCTCACCATTGTGGGTGGGGAAAACACACAAACTAATACAGGGAAATCTCACCATTGTGGCAAGGGCAGAGACACAAAACTATGAAATTTCCAATAGGTATTGGCAGGGCAGTCTTTAATATTGATTGGACCCTAGGCAAATATTTTCTTGCCCCCCCCTGCTCCTACCCACCACGGCCCACCACGCAATGCCCCACCCACCTCACCATGCAATTTCGCTTTCCAAACCAACATCCCCAAAAAACCCACAAAAAACAAATACACACATACATCTCACATAGAAGAGGCATCAGAGGGAGAGGTGACCCCGCATGAGCCGATCACATAGTAAACAGAACGGTGCTGCATGTGTATCTTTTGCGGGCTCATGGGGCAGCTGCTTTGGGCCCCACAACAATGACTGGACCTGGGACAACTGCACATTTTGCCCCATGTTAAAGACGGCCCTGGATATAGGAATTCAGTATCTTCTTTATCCCCTGCGACCACCCAGTCCTAAAATATAGGCTCCAAATGGAGCCAGTCTTTATTTTCATTTATCATATTTTATATTACAAAGCTTTGTTTTTACCAAATCTGTTAAATGTGAATAAAATAAATTTTCAAGGTATTGCTAACTGGTGTTATGAAAACAACTTAGGTTCTCAGTTACCTCAAGAAAACCAATTTCAACACAAAGTCTGGGGAGGTGATGAAGTTTAATTCTCAAGGGGACCTTCCAGCATCATATGATATCATGAACGTCCAGATCCTCAATGACAGCTTCAACCTGGTGAAAGTTGGGAGGTTTGACCCTGAGGCCAAACTGGGGGAGAAGATCAGTCTGAACATTAGCGCCATCCTGTGGAATGATCCCCTTTTACAGGTAATTGAAGGACACACCTACAATTGAAGGATCACTTTGGTGTTTCTGTTAGATTTTAGTAGCTTCATATATGATCCTGATGGAACATTTAATGATCAATTTAAAAATGTAATCAATGCATTGGAATGTGATTGTAAACCAGGTCTTCTTATACAGCATCAGTACCTGACCTCACAAATGGGCACAAATTTCCACAGACCCCCTCCAAAATCTTGTGGAAAACCTTCTATCCCGTACATGGTAGGAGACCGGAAAGGTGAGGAGACTTCTCTTGCACCCCATCTCCTGCACCCCTTGGAGGTGGGAACAGAGGGTGAAAGGACAGCGAGTAGCACGAGTGCCACTGGAGGGACTGGACACTGTGCAGCAGAAGTCCTGGATGCGAAACAAGGCCAAGGTCAAACCTGGTGGGCAGCGTGGTAGTAGGAGCAGGAAGCAGAAGGGGGGTCATGGAAGCCAGGGGTTAAACGGGTGTGGCAGCCAGGTACAGAATCGATCAGCAGAGGCAAAGTCCAGTAAACAGGCCAGGGTCAAGGGGTAGGCAGCAAAGAGAGAGAGTCAGGCAATCCGGGTAAAAAATGGGTAGAGCAATCCAACAGAATGACAGGTATACAGGAAGCACTAGCTGAAGAACATCAGCACTGTGGTTAGGGCATGCCCATTTATATAGGCCAGTGTATTAGAGAGGGGGCGTCACTTCCTACGCGCCGGACATCTGCTCGTCTTTGCGCGCACTTCCGGTATGTTTTTCTACCAACACGGAATATAGGCCTATGCGCACGCACGGGCACCATCCTTGCCTTACACCTTCCCAGAAGATTGGATGCTGTTAGAGCCCCAGAGGGGGGCAACTCTATATTAATGGCCATGGCATTTGAATGGGATGTCCAACAAGCTGATATTGCTGTGATTGTCAGATATCCGCAAACCTTTGGCCATTTATTGTACAAAAAAATATATATTGACCTTTTCATTCAACTTTTTTTTTGATGCAGTGAAAAAATTTACATTTACAGTGTGGGAGAAGCACAGCAAAAACATGGTTTGGCAGTGAAATTGTTAATTTATGCTACATGGTTAACTGAAAACTGGCCTAATTAGACCTAATTATGCTAAAAGTGTGTATGCCTTCTTTTGTTGAAGCTGGTTGATAATGCATTCCCTCTCAAACCTTGGAGATAATAGATACAAGGTCTAGTTTCCTGGCAGATAGGGACTTTAACTGTGTAGTCCAGGGAAGGCAATCATCTATTTTATGTTTTATTTTGTTCCTGAGAGAATACTGTCTATGTTTACTTGGTGCTGGAAATGCAATAAACCTTGTTGTGGACAGTTTGAAACTTGAATTGCTTTATAAACTCTTTCCCCATTTGGGGCTGCCTGCCCCCAAGAGACCCCAGGCACTAGCACCATTACAATATATTAGCTTCATACTTCAGCTTCCTCCATGTCCGGTCATGATGCGTTTGTCCCCTTTGCAGGTTCCGATCGCTGTCTGCAGTAACAGCTGTCGACCTGGATACAGGAAAGCTAATCTGCAAGGAAGACCCATCTGTTGCTATAACTGTCTCCCCTGTTCCATGGGAGAGATGACCAATTATACAGGTATCTGATAGTGGAGCGTATAAATGTTTCAATTAATAAGTAGTTGTTGGGTTGGTTTGAATGACCTGCACAGATGACTCCAGGGGAGGGCACACTGGAGCTCCTCATGCCCAACTGGGAAGAGGCCCAGACTGGGACCAAGCTGGAGAATTGAAATGTCCTAATAGGAATGCTTCAGAAGCAAACATAAGAGTCAAGGCCTAACTACAGATGATTTCTTTCTTTAGTTTTGGATAGAGTTAAGATTTCTGTAAGGTATTTTGTTTCTGTCTGTGACCTAATTTGATAGATTTTCTCTTACTTCCTTTCCCTCTGACACCACCTCAAATATAGGGCTTATCAGCTACTGTATATCCACTACATTGCTCCAAATGTTTACATTGTCTGTAATGGGGCAACTTCTCCAAGACATTTGTGATTGTTTAGCTTCTTCATTATTCAGATCAGATCAACCCAGCAAATCAAACTATGCCCTTGGGTATAACAGAATTGCCTTCAACGTGAGCCCAGCACCGATGATCAGGTAGCTCTCTGTCTCCAGCCCCCAGTCTGAAGACAGAGAGCTACATGAGAGCAGGAAGAGGGGACACATTTAGGGCAGTGATACCCAAGGGCCTGGGATCACTGATTGGAATACCAGAGGAGCTACACCATCACAAACGTCTTGGAGAAGATGCACAATTACAGACAATGTAAATATTTGGAGCAATATAGTGGAAATAGAGGATTTTCCCCATATCTGAGGCAGCTCAAAATAGAACTGGGGAATAAACGCAAGCCCCCGCCAAATTGTGAACTATCAGATATGCAAGTATAAAATAGAAAGAGAGAGGCATCTGTGGTTTCTCTTTTCTGCTTGTAGGTCTCCCTGGTCATTTGGGGATGCTGATCTGTCATTACAAGTGGGGCAGGGCGAGCTGCGAGATCACTGCTGGCTTCGCCCAGCTGTCATTTGCACGGAGATCGGTCGGCGTTGGCTGACCTTTCTCCATGCTTTGCCTGTCACTATGGCTTACTATGGCATGAAGCATATGCGTTCGTCTCGGTGGCCTTCGGCTGCTGTAGGGCAATAGTGAATAGCCCGTACAGCAGCCCTTCTGTTCGACTGAACCGAAAGGCTCAGGCGGCCCAAGAGAGCCGAAGGATCCGGCTCATTAGTGAATAATCCCCATATGTTTGAAACATTTTTATTGATAGTTTGATATTTAAAATCTATGATGTACTATAAACAGTTTTAATCATATTTATTTTATATGTTATAAATGAATACAACTAAAATGGAATGATTTTTAACATAAGTAATGATACCTTAGTATCTGACATCTAAAAAAGTCCAATATATACTGTATGTGTAGACTTTGTATCTATATTTAAATAAAGCTAACACTGGATTTCTGTTGTGAATATTGGCCGCAGACATGTTTTTTTTTTAACAAGTGTTAATAAATCTTTTTTATATTCTTGCTTAGATGCGGATGAGTGTACCAGATGTCCCTCAGATCAGTGGTCCAATGGTGAGAGGGATAGTTGTGTCCCAAAAGTACTAGAGTTCCTCTCATACGATGAACCGCTGGGAATCATCCTGGTGATAACAGTTATCATGTTGTCAATCCTGACTCTGTGCATCTTAATTATCTTCTTTAAATATCAGGACACACCCATCATCAAAGCCACCAATAGGGAGTTGAGCTACATCCTGCTGGTGTCGCTCGTTCTCTGCTTTCTCTGCTGTCTGGTTTTCATTGGTCAGCCGACCACTTTCCGTTGTGTCCTGAGACAAACTTTTTTCATCGTGGCCTTTTCCATTAGTATCTCCTCAGTCCTGGCTAAGACTATCATGGTGATCCTTGCCTTTAAAGCCACAAGACTGAACAGTCCGTTGAGGAAATGGATGGGTCCCACCATACCTCGTAACGTTGTAGGGCTCTGTTCAGTTTTGCAGATCGGCATTTGTTCCTTCTGGCTTCATAGTTCCCCTCCATTTCCGATGCTGAATACTGAGATCGAGAGCCATAAAATAATATATGAGTGTAATGAAGGACAGAGAATATTTTTCTATATGACTCTGGGGTTCATGGGCTTTCTGGCCATGGTAAGTTTACTGGTGGCCTTCCTGGCAAGGAACCTTCCGGGAAGCTTCAATGAGGCCAAACTGATCACTTTCAGCATGCTGGTCTTCTGTTGTGTCTGGATTTCCTTCATCCCGGCCTATCTGAGCACCAATGGCAAGTACACCGTGGCTGTTCAAATATTTGCTATCTTGGCCTCCAGTGCGGGACTGCTAAGTTGTATATTCCTACCGAAATGTTATATTATCCTGCTGAGACCAGAAAGGAACAGTCGAGAGGTCTTATCAGGCAGTAAAAATATGAAGAGTTTTGGTTAAAATGGGGCAAAAATGTGTAGTGTTTAGGCTACATAAGAGTTGAAACAGTTAAATGTTCACAAAGACTGGAGAAGGACTGATTGAAGTAAAGCTTGGTCACTCTGCTGGAAACATTCCCACATTCAGTTTCAAAAACCATGACACATAAACTTATGAAATTATATATTTTATTGGACTTACAAAGGGTGAGTCCAGTTGGAGAAGGTCAGAAAAACCTGGCACATCTTTTAGTTAGAGATTAAACGATATTGGAGATCGCTCACCTGAGTGTTAGCACAAACAACTTGTTTTGAATGTGTCACCTTTCTCATGACTCAAGTCATTCACCAAAAGATATGTCAATGTTGTAAAAGCATCTTAGAGCACATACATATAAAATCTGTAAGGATTTTCTTTCTAGTCCTGTCAAACCATCTTTGAGGGGCAGGTACATGGTATGTGTAACCTTTGCTAATGCCCCATGAGGCCATCAGAAGAGTTCAGCTAAGACTGTGTAGCGCTCCCTGGACTTCAAGGGGCAGGAGAAGCTGACATTTTACCTCAGTGATGAGTCCTTAGCCGTTATGTGGGATGTGGCAGTAACAATAAAGAACTTGGACGCCAGTCAGTTTAAGGTTTTTCTAATGCTTTATTCTATGAATGGTAAATATAGAGGGAGAATATTAAGGCTGCAGACAGCTAGGATAACACAGAACTCCAGACTCACCAAATGCTTTCCAGTTCCACAGTGCAAGGGACCTTTAAATCAAAAATGTGGTGACATTGAGAGCCAAAGCTGGTCTATAGAAATGTTTGAGATCTACCCTAGGTGAGACACCAGACTCCCAGAGAGGTCCAAGCCCATCCTGGCTTCTCCGGAACTTCCAACAGCCCAGATAGCAAGGATAACTTGCCACAAACTTGTGTCAGGGTGAAATTGTAATTTTGTTAACTTGCTGCACATATTCCTGGCAAGTTGTAGACTTGCAGAACACTCGCAGCACAAGTTCTAGTTGACACTTTTTGAATTTGTAGCAAATTTGCTTGGCAAGTCTACAGCAAGAGTCCTGCAGGTCTTAGCAAGAGCTCTGCAAGCTCGCTGGTCTGGAGACTTGCAATGCAGACTTGCTGTAATCGTGCAACAAAATTGTGAAGCTCGGCAAGTCTGCAAGAGTTTAGCAAGTCATTTTCAAACTTGCAGCACAATTACTTGCTATCTGGGAGACTAAGTTCCTACCTAGCTCTCCCTACCAGGAATAATCCCTGACCCAGACTGGATCCACACCTGACTGCCTGCAGGCTTCAGGCCTGGTCAGACATCACACTTATAACTCACCTACCCCAGGCAGGAGCCCAGGGGAGAAAGAGTTTCTCACATGGTCAGACCCAGATATTTGTGTCCTCCCCCAGCCTGCACCACTGGCCATAAAGCTCCTACAGGGTTATTCACAAAAGGGTGAGGAGTTTGGAGAAGGAGGGAGAAGTGAACAATCTAGGACAATATAGCTGAACTGGAAAGTGAGCTGAATTGGAGAATTTCTCCAAATCAGCTATGTTGTTCTAGATTGTTCACTTCTCCTGCCTTCTCCAAACTCTTCACCCTTTAGTTAATAGACCTGCTAGTGATTGGCTGGAGAGACATAGATATTTATACATTCCATTATTGGTTGCTCTGCTCTGTGGCAAGGTTACATCCACCATCAGGTAGATGCCATCAATAACAGAATCCTTAGGGAAAGCCAAATGAGTGCAAACTATGTAATCAGCTATGTGACGGACTCCCTGATACCCTGACTGGATATCTCCGTCTTAAAGGAGAACTATGGGGTCAGTGTTTTTCCCCATAGTTCTCCTTAGGGTAACGGGAGGACACAAACTAGCGTCCTCCCGGTACCCTAAGCTCAGTATACCGCGAGCTACAGCTCGCGGTATACTGAGACGCCACAGCCGGAGCGCATCCCAACGTAGATGACGGGATCCGCCCAGCTGCGTGAGTGACAGCTGGCTCTGCCTATCTAGAGGCAGAGCCAGCTGTACCCGCCCCCTCCCCCGTCCGTTCCGCCAGTCAGCGCTGGCAGATCGGAGCGGGGAGAGGGGAATCCAGCCCCTCCCCCTGTCACGGCAGAGAGCCGTGACAGGACCGAGAGGTGAGCGAACCTGGTATGTGTTCGCTCACCTCCCGATCTACTGAGCCGACCTGTGCCAGTCTCATTGTCACAGGTCGGCTAGAACTATGAGGTGAGTGGAAATCACTCATCTCATAGTTCTCCTTTAAGCCTGTTCCCTGGGTGCTGGAACCAGAAGCAAGTGAATATAGCATGGGCTTACCCCAAGAATCAGACAACACTGACTTTGGAGTGGAAACATTAACTGGTTTATTGAAGAAAGCACACAGAGTGTATACCTCACAGAATCAGATAAGAGTTCAGTGTGTTACATTGAACAGTTCTCACCCCTAGATAGCCGGGTGCCGCATTGGAATTCCTTAAGCACAGACACTATTTAAAATGAATGTCCTTAATTAGATGAGAGCTTGATCACATCAACCTAAAAAATGGCCAGTCCAGACAGCCTGCTGCCTTTACAAAAATAAGTTTAGCAGAGATGGTATCCAAACAAGATGGAAGTCCGGATGGTTCACACCAAGTCAAATAGTGAAAAGCTCTCTCTAGATTAAAGAGGAAAAACACACACAGCAAACAAAGTTCTCCGGGGTAATAAATCTCTGCAGCCCTAGGTCGTTCACAAGCTAGACTGGATACAGTCCTAGCACAACTAAATTTAAGTAGTCACCCCACTTAGGGCAAGGTAGCTACAACTGTTAGCAGTGTGAGGGATAGGTGGTTCAGGCTGAGCAGGCTCTATTTGCAATACAGTTCAGGGGACCCCGGAGAAAAGTTATAGTTGCTAGAAGGAAGCAGAGTGCTCAAAGCTTCAAGGTCAGAGTCGGTCACAATTAAAACTTGAATTTAAAGCACACAATAGGGGGACACAAACTTTTTTCTATTCAGAAGTCTACTGGAGTCTGCTTTTAACACCACCATGCTCATCAAGGGACTTCGAAAAATGAGATCCAAGATGGTCTTTCTTTCTCAAGTCGCCACATCTAAACAGTGAGCTCAACACATCATGAGTGATGAGATGTGTCAATATGATAATTATTCATTTTTTGCTTCCATTTTCTCATGTTATAATAGAAGCCATAACAACAGGTCCACATTACAACTCAGACCATATATATAAGGACATCTAAACCTATATGTTATCATTGCATCCTTGTTTTTGGCTGGTATAGAGGAAAAGAAGTCTTCCTCTACTTTCTTTGAAGAACTTAAGGTGGCCAAATACACGTGAGGAAGAACTTAGGATTTTATAGAATACTTTCAGTAAGCCTCATGTATTACTAAAAATGAAGTTTTTTATGTTTGGGAACCTGTTAACATCGCTGGTTGCCTCAACAGTGTGTTACAGCAGACCAGTAATGGAAAAATATGTATTATATTATTTATTAAATCTTTATTATTTAATAATAACTCAGTAAATTAGATTTATTGACATATTTTGGTACCATAAAAATTATTGTCATTGTCACACTTTCCTGTGCGTTGTTCCAGCTCCGGATTTTTCTCTCTGTCTGGGGTGCTGTCTGCTCTCTTCAACAACATCTTAGTAGACTAGTCGCCAGACTCCCCTGTGGTTCAATATGGTAAAGATCATATTGGTTGAAAACACATAAACATTTATTAAAGAGCATTCTATGGGAATATACACAACAGGAGGCTAAATAAATCCCACCATTTGTCCTATTCAAGAGTTTTTAATTCTTTATTGCATGCAATATTCATATTAAATTAATTATACAACATTCATATTCATATTGAAAATTCATATGCACAGCAACTATTAAAATGCATAGGTGCCACCCAGAGGCGTAACTAGAAATCACAGGGCCCCATAGCAAAATGTTGTATGGTGCCCCGTGATTGCTAGTTATGCCACTTGCAGAGCCCACTGGAGAGTGGCCCTGAGAGCCCACCATAGACTCTCTATAATGGGCTCTGCAGGGTCTGAGATCTCTTACCTGTCAGCGCTGTCCGCCTCTGCAGTCGCCGGGCCCCGACTCCTGTTTCGTCCCCGGGCCCCTGCCTCCTTTGCTATTGACGGGCCCCGCCTCCTCTGCTATCGACGGGCCCCACCTCCTCTTACATCACTGGCCCCACCTGCTCTTACGTCGCTGGCCAGTGATGTAAGAGGAGGCGGGGTTTGCTCTTAGGCGGGCCCAGCCTCCTCCTTCGCTGCAAACTCCGGTGTAACCGGCCTCTTCTGCTGCAGCTGCTGGCTGTCACTGACACAGCTCCGCAACGGCTGTGAGGGGAAATGCGCCGCGGCCGCTGCTGAGCTGTGTCAGTGACAGCCAGCACCCCTACATGCCATAGCGACCCTGGACGGGCCCCCCTGTGCCTGGGCCCCATATCGGCCGCCTGGGTCACTATGGCGATTGTCACGCCACTGTTGCCACCTAACTATGAAGTCCAAAAATATATGATACCGTTATTTCAAACACTAAAAGAGATTTTCTATTTAGGTCGTGCAGCTAAGCCCTCTCCATCCAACATTGATATACTGTATCTGTACAGCCATATAGTTCTTTATCATAATTTATCATAAACAAATATGCGGAGTCCATAAAGTTATCCAATTCCAACTGATTTAATAAAGAATTCTGAATGTCTTTAAGGAAATTTCCCTAAATGAGGACCTTTAATATTCATGATGTTATTGTCTCTACCATAGTCGTGTGCTGATATTCTTTTCTGTTGAACAAGTTCATGAAGGAACCGCTGGGAAATGTGAAAAAGTAAACCCTTAACTTGCGTGAGATGCAGATCAGGTAGATGGAGTGTAGGGTTGGAAAAATATTCATAATAATAAAAGCCGATGTAAAGCCCAAAAAAATGATTACATACCGTTTACAAAGGGTGATGTTAATATGGACAATGCAACCGACTAAGGAGAACACT